TACTACTACTATCAATATCATTATCATTATTATTATCATTATTACTACTACTACTACTACTACTAATATCATTATCATTATTATTATCATTATTACTACTACTAATACTATCAATATCATTATCATTATTACTACTACTACTATCATTATTATCATTGTTATTATTATTATCATTATTTGTCCAGATTCAGTTTTTAATAATGAATATTTTGGGCAAATGGAGATTTTTATTAATATATTTATATTCTCTGCTAATTAATTTCTATTAATTCGTTTATAAAAAAATATTGCCTATTTTCTTTAAGGCGTCGTTTACTATTATAAGATAACTAGATTACTACAGGTACTACTTATCTTAATAGTATTGTACCACCACAATGTCTACAATAATAACAACACCAACTACTATTAACGGCGTCCAACCTCCCCTCTCTACACCTAATCTAACAACAGCAGCTAAGTTAGTTAAGGTGTGAGCGGCCTCATAAACTGACTATATGTGTTGTTGACTTAGCTTCCCAAGACGCTCTTCCTCTGAGACACAACACGGCAGCGTCTCTACTCGGTACGTCTCGTTAAATAGGGATAATCAACTACGTCTCGATAAATAGCGATAACCACCTATTTAAATATCTACTATCTCGTTAAATAGGGATAATCACCTATTAAAATATCTTCTGTCTGGTTAAATAGCGATAATCACGTACATCTCGTTAAATAGCGATAATCACCTATTTAAATATCTACTGTCTCGTTAAATAGGGATAATCACCTACGTCTCGTTAAATAGGGACAATCACCTATTAAACTTTGATAACAAACTGATTTTTTTTTTGACAAATATGGATAATTTTTATTTTCATTGCTAAACCTTCATGGAAATTCCTATGTGGTAAAATGTATTATTCCATTTATGGGTTAGGTTAGGCATGGAATATCTTGTGTATTTTGTGTTAACTTCTAACTGGTCAGAATTGGCAAGTAGACCATACTAACCTAACCTAACCTAACCTACTAACGATATAATCTGGTTATCTTACACTGTAATAGTAAACGACGCATTAAAGAAAATAGGCAATATTTTATTATAGAAATTAATTAGCAGAAAATATAAATAAATTAATAAATATCCCCATTTGCCGAAAATATTCATTATTTTTCAAAACTGAATCTGTAATATGCATACGTACATACATAGATACATACATATATTCATACATACATACATGCATACAGTATTTATAACATGAAGGTCTCGGTAACAGATGCGCCACATTGTAAACCTGTAACAGTGTTGGCAGTGACGTCATACTTAAGGGGCACCAAGTCATTAATGTTAACTCATTTGTATAGTGGAGTTAATACAGTGGTTCATCAACAAGGTGTTCAGGTGTACTCAGGTGTAGAGTACCTTCATCAACAGGTAAATCTCTTTACCTGTCATTTATGTATATTGTCACTCTTAAATGTTTCTATAAAATAGGGATGAGAAACTCGGCGGTGTAGTGATGCATTGTGGGAGTTGGGGTGAAGGGGGGGGGGAGTGTTTATATTGGCCTGCGAGGAGGAGGAGAAGCACAACACTATTACTAGTACACCTGTACACAGGTGAGTATTGTGTGTCAAGCGAAGTGTATTAGTAAACTTATACCCCGCCATAACCGAGTTGTTAGACCATCACAACACGTGACCAATATAACCTGTAGTTAACATTAACAAGTTATACCTGGTAGTGGTAGTACTGTAATATAGACCATCACAACATTTGACCAATATAACCTGTAGTTAACATTAACAAGTTATACCTGGTAGTGGTAGTACTGTAATATAGACCATCACAACATTTGACCAATATAACCTGTAGTTAACATTAACAAGTTATACCTGGTAGTGGTAGTACTGTAATATAGACCATCACAACGCGTGACCAATATAACCTGTAGTTAACATTAACAAGTTATACCTGCAGTAGTAATTGCAATATATATTCATCACAACATAGACCAATATAACTTGTTGTTAACATTAAGTTATACCTGGTAGTGGTAGTACTGTAATATAGACCATCACAACACGTGACCAATATAACTTGTTGTTAACATTAACAAGTTATACCTGGTAGTGGTAGTACTGTAATATAGACCATCACAACACGTGACCAATATAACTTGTTGTTAACATTAACAGGTTATACCTGGTAGTGGTAGTACTGTAATATAGACCATCACAACACGTGACCAATATAACTTGTTGTTAACATTAACAAGTTATACCTGGTAGTGGTAGTACTGTAATATAGACCATCACAACACGTGACCAATATAACTTGTTGTTAACATTAACAGGTTATACCTGGTAGTGGTAGTACTGTAATATAGACCATCACAACACGTGACCAATATAACTTGTAGTTAACATTAACAAGTTATACCTGGTAGTGGTAATACTGTAATATAGATCATCACAACACGTGACCAATATAACTTGTAGTTAACATTAACAAGTTATACCTGGTGGTGGTAGTACTGTAATATAGACCATCACAACACGTGACCAATATAACTTGTAGTTAACATTAACAAGTTATACCTGTAGTGGTAGTACTGTAATATGGTTCATCACAAACACGTGACCAATATAACTTGTTGCTAAGACAAGAGCCTGCAGCGTAAGTAATGTATATAGACCATCACAACATCGTACCAATATAACCATACAATGATAATGCTAAGTACCTGGCAGTAAAATGTAATATAGACCATCGCCAACACGACCAATATAACTTGTTATTAACATTGGCGGCTATAACGGTAGGCATTGTAATATAGATCATCACAACATCACGTGACCAATATAATTGTAGTTAAACATTAACAAGTTATACCTGCAGTGGTATACTGCAATATAGATCATCACAATGATGCACCAATAATATAACTTGTAGTTAACATTAACAAGTTATACCTGGTGGTGGTAGTACTGTAATATAGACCATCACAACACGTGACCAATATAACTTGTAGTTAACATTAACAAGTTATACCTGGTAGTGGTAGTACTGTAATATAGATCATCACAACACGTGACCAATATAACTTGTTGTTAACATTAACAAGTTATACCTGGTAGTGGTAGTACTGTAATATAGACCATCACAACACGTGACCAATATAACTTGTAGTTATCATTAACAAGTTATACCTGGTAGTGGTAGTACTGTAATATAGACCATCACAACACGTGACCAATATAACTTGTTGTTAACATTAACAAGTTATACCTGGTAGTGGTAGTACTGTAATATAGACCATCACAACACGTGACCAATATAACTTGTAGTTATCATTAACAAGTTATACCTGGTAGTGGTAGTACTGTAATATAGACCATCACAACACGTGACCAATATAACTTGTATTTAACATTAACAAGTTATACCTGGTAGTGGTAGTACTGTAATATAGACCATCACAACACGTGACCAATATAACTTATAGTTAACATTAACAAGTTATACCTGGTAGTGGTAGTACTGTAATATAGACCATCACAACACGTGACCAATATAACTTGTTAACATTAACAAGTTATACCTGGTAGTGGTAGTACTGTAATATAGACCATCACAACACGTGACCAATATAACTTGTTAACATTAACAAGTTATACCTGGTAGTGGTAGTACTGTAATATAGACCATCACAACACGTGACCAATATAACTTGTAGTTAACATTAACAAGTTATACCTGGTAGTGGTAGTACTGTAATATAGACCATCACAACACGTGACCAATATAACTTGTAGTTATCATTAACAAGTTATACCTGGTAGTGGTAGTACTGTAATATAGACCATCACAACACGTGACCAATATAACTTGTAGTTAACATTAACAAGTTATACCTGGTAGTGGTAGTACTGTAATATAGACCAACACAACACGTGACCAATATAACTTGTAGTTAACATTAACAAGTTATACCTGGTAGTGGTAGTACTGTAATATAGACCATCACAACACGTGACCAATATAACTTGTAGTTAACATTAACAAGCTATACCTGGTAGTGATAGTACTGTAATATAGACCATCACAACACGTGACAATATAACTTGTTGTTAACATTAACAAGTTATACCTGGTAGTGGTAGTACTGTAATATAGACCATCACAACACGTGACAATATAACTTGTTGTTAACATTAACAAGTTATACCTGGTAGTGGTAGTCTCTCACTTTCTAACGTTTGACAATAATGTTAAAAATACTTGTATGGGCTGTAGTCGGTAATTAACATACAGAGCGTGATACACGCCGCCAGTTACATGTATAAACATACACACAATATACCAACAACCTTCCCTCAAGTTAAGTTATACTGTTTATTGTACAGCACAATACTGTACAGTACAGCACAGTGCAGGGCAGTACTGAAAGGTACAGTACAGCACAGTGCAGGACAGTACTAAAAGGTACAGTACAGCACAGTGCAGGACAGTACTGAAAGGTACAGTACAGCACAGCGCGGTACAGTACTAAAAGGTACAGTACAGCACAGTGCAGGACAGTACTGAAAGGTACAGTACAGCACAGCGCGGTACAGTACTAAAAGGTACAGTACAGCACAGTGCAGGACAGTACTGAAAGGTACAGTACAGCACAGTGCAGTACAGTACTAAGAGGTATAGTACAGCACAGTACTGTATAGTACAGCACAGCGCAGTACAGTACTAAAAGGTACAGTATTGCATAGTACAGCATAGTGCAGTGCAGTGCAGTACTGTTTAGTACAGCACAGTGCAGTGCAGTGCAGTACTGTTTAGTACAGCACAGCGCAGTACAGTACTATATATTACGGTACAGTACAGTATCCGCTATTACTTTTTAACTTGTTCTCAAAAGCTGAAGATAATGAGGCAAATTAAACAGTGTAACATAATTATTACTATTATTATTATTATTATTATTATTATTTATGATGGTCATTTATCATCCACGAAATTGTTTGAAATGTTTACCTTTTGTTAAGTTTTCTTATTATGAGTATTGTTGTTAACATGTTTACACTTATCAGGTGTTACGACTGGTCCTACGAGATCGGCTAAAACAGAATTAATGATGTATGTTACTTTTACTAATTCATATCAAGATGTAACTAAGGTGAAAACATAAACAATTATTATTACTGCTAACATGAACGTTAAACATTTCATATTATATTCTAAGTCGTAGGAGATAACTATTATATGTGATAATAAACACTTTATTAACCCACAAAACTTGTTCAGTTGTTACAGAGAAGTGAACAAGTTGTTTGAGGATGAAGTACATGTTGACGCTACTGGTGGTGACCGTCACTGTTATAGGAGCAATAGACAACAAAACTGCTCCGGTAGATCCAGTGATCCTTCCGTGTGGCCCCCACACCATGAAACTCGGCGATGTGGTCTTGGTGCAGTCACCAGGTTACCCCGCCCGCCTGACCAACAAGAGCAGGTAAGATCATCCCCAGTTCACCTTCACACGTACACCATAACACTACAGGTACACCATAACAATACAGGTAGTCTCAGGTCAATATGTTTGTGCTGTTGCTTCAGTTAAATACATGTTCACGTCTGCAGTCATATTAACGTAAGTTACTGTAACTTTTAAACGAGGATCCTCAAGGTGTTTAATGTTTCTCTTAAATTAAAGGTGTTCCAATATCTCTAAGACCAGGGTTGCCATACGTCCGTATTTTCCCGGACATGTCCTCCATTTAGGTCTCGAAATCTTCATCCAGAAGGAATTTTTAAAATTCTTCAAAAGTCCGGAATTTCAGCTTCCATCATTTTCTCCACGGAAAGAAACATGAAACTGTAATGACGAGAGAGAGAGAGAGAGACTGTGAGAGAGGGGAGGTGGAAACAGTAGAGATCTTGTTCAGTTCTCGTCAGCTGATAAGTCACGTGTACGCCTGTACGGTGGTGTCAACTTAGCTGCTAGCAGTTTTTGGGGTAAACTGTAGTGCCATGTACTGCTTTTCCTTGTTCTTCAGCCACGCGCATTATTATATTATTTTATATTTAGTTGCTATTACAGCCATAAATGAAATGTTGAAAGTATACCATTTTTTTCTTATGGCTTATTTTACACGGTAGCGTTTGTTTTTCTTGTCCTGCTTTTAAGGCATTTTAGCAATTTCCAACCACAATCTAGCCACTTTCCTTATATTATTTACGTGTGTCGACAACTATGACGGTGGCCGGTGGTTGGCCAGTCTTTAACCTGCAGTGACAGTGTTTGATCTTAGTCTTTGTTGTGGGTTTGTCGCTTGGTGCCACAGCTAGTGCTTACGATTTGTTGTACTTTTCCAGAGCATAAAACGGTCACGGCTGCATCAAGGTTACATAGCGCCAAAGTGTGTGCCAGGCAAGGGGGGGGGCGGCTGATGTCTTCGGGAACGTCCTCTTTTTTTAATGTTCAGATATGACAACCCTATCTAAGACACAATACCAAGATGACAAACTAAATGGCGTCCAAACTGTAACCTTCCCGAGGATACAAAGACGATTACAGTTGTTAGTTCTACCTGTGTTCCTCTAACATTATCACCACCACAGGTGTTACTTCCACCAACACCTGTATTCCTCTAAGATTATTCCGTCTTCCACAATAACGTCTACAGGTGTTCACTCCTTCCCACAGTTGTCAACAGAATATCGTCTGCCAGTCACTGAGTGCCAAGCTTGGAGTCGCCTGCGAAGTATTTAACCTGGAAGACTGTGACAATGAACGACTCATCATATCCTACGACACCACTTCCTCCACGTATGTGTTACCCGGTACAACACCACCACCACCACCACCTCTACTACTGTTACTCTTACTACCTTTACTACAAACTAAAAAAAACAACTTTTACTGCTATTGTTATTATACAATGCAAATAGTATTACAATACCGGTTCTCCTTAAAATTACACTACTACTACTACTACAACAACTACTGCTTCTGTGTGTGATATTGACAGTAACATTAGTAGTTACTGGACATAAAGACAATATGTGATCCAGTCATAACAATACTTGCATTATTTTTATCTATCATTAAACCTTTACTTTTGATGTTGGTAATATTATCAAGTAATAACACTCTTACTACCTTCTGATGCTTCAATAACTATTACTTTAATTACAACCACTAACACATTATTACTCCTGTTACCTCGAATACTTTGTCTCCTCAGTCT